AAATGTCTGGAACAGGAAAATCATTAGAGACAGAGTTGACTGGGGATTTTCTAGAGTGGGGAGGGGGTTGGTAGGGCAAAATGGAGAGTGACTGCTAATGGATGTGGGATAAAAATGTTCTCGAATTGAAAGTGGCAATGTTTACACAACTCTTTTGTATATATTAAAAACCTTGAATTATATACTTTGAATGGATGAATTTTATGGTATGTGCATCATATCTCAAAAGAGCTATTAAAACATGAAAAATAATATACTTTCATAGTTGCTATGTCTGATTTCTGTCATCTTTTCCATTCTTAATATTTATTTTATTTATCCCTTTTCTTCTCCCACACATCCCAAATTTCTGTTAGATATACATTAATGATGCAATGAGAGAAGTTAAGATAACACATTAGCTTCTGTACTATTAAAATTTCCATCAGAAAAACATAACCAATAGGTACCAGTAAGAAGGGTGTGTGTGTGTGTGTGTGTGTGGGGGGGGAGGGGGTGTATCTGAGATGTGGAGAATTAAAACACAAAATATTAATAAATTTGTATGAAATATGTAATATATGTTTGGCAAAAGTACACATATTAAAATTGAACAATTCAATGAATTATCACAATGCAAACATTCTCAATTAAAAACATACTACCCTTTCACAAAAAAATGAAAAAAGATAAAATAAATAAAAATAAATAAAGCAATTTGAACTAATCATAAAAAAAATAAAAACATGTGATGTAGATGTTATTAGCCACTTTTTACAGCACAGTCTCAGAAGTAAGTTTCCAATGTCAGACACCTAGCAAAGAACTGACCCCTGTGTCCAACTTCCAAAAAATAAAAATAAAAGCAAAAACATGCTATCAGAAAATTCTATCAGCATTTCAGTACAGACAATATAAATGATATACTTTAGAATTTGAAGCTAAAATGTAAAAACTGTGGGCTATTATATACTTTAATTCTAAAAATAAATGACTTTGAAATTTAAAAAAAAATGGAAAAATAGAGGGTTCTAAGGGAGTAAGAGTCCCTGACTCTTTCATGAAAGCCTCTACTTTCACCTTTGTATTCTTATGTGGTCAAATAAAAGAGAAAAGCTTGAATGCTCGATATCCTAGGGAACACAAAAGCTCCCCCGATGGCTTTAGCCATAAGCTCAGTGCCAACCACCAAACTCCCAAGTGGGGCTGTGTGGTATGTTTCATCAGTATAACAACCTCTTGGCTCAGCATTCAACTGGTTGAGGGTGGGAGACTAGAAATGTTCTTTCTATCTTCTGAGGATGCTTCCAGCATACTGTGCTTTCTCATTCCTGCTGTCCTGGAGACATGTGAGTTTGTGTCAGGAAAAGTCTTTAAAAGACATTTTGTATCCCTTAAGAGAAAGTTATCTGTATAATTGGTGATGGGAAGTCTACTTTAAAGCAGGAAGAATGAGATTTAGAGGCCAGCAAAGGGGATTTTGCAACGTAACAACTCTGTGTAGCCTAATTTGGAATATTATTTAAAAGGTTTCCTAAAATATGAGTTTTAGTTTGGTGTTATTTATGCTCAGTGGGTGAAAAAGGGAGCAGAGCTGGGAGCTGCCAGAAAAGAAAGAAGTAAATAACCTGTTAGCTGGACCAGGAAAATGGGAGGCATTGTGAAGAAAGTTTAAACATTTACTATGATATTCCTGAAATTAATAAAAAGAAATAATTATTCACTAAGCACTTGAGAGAAAAATGTGTCTGCCTAATGACAGTCAGAGATCAAATGCAGTAAATTAAGCAGGGAGAATCAGCAGAATGCTACTGAATACCTTGGGTTTTGTCATGGCCTAGTGTCCTCATAATAGGCAGAGGTATCCCAAGTTTAGCTGTGCTATTGTGCAGAAGAAATGACGGCCTTAGATTTGTGGTGCAGTTTCAGATATGGAGTTTTCTCTATTCCCAATCCTTCCCTCAAATTGTGTTGGAATTTTTATTTTACTGAGGGTATTGGCTCTAATGTCACAATTAGAATTAGGTAAATGATTGAATTAGAGGGATAGGTTCAAACTGAGTAAGAATGGTCACAAATATTTATTAATGTTATAAAACATTTTATACAAGAGATGGTATGCAATTACAGGCTCATTCCTGTGAGCTGGGGTGGTCATGAGGCTGAGTGAGATGATAAGCACACACAGCTCTATAAAGGATTTGGTATGTGTAAAGGTTGGAATTCCTTACAGACCACAGGAACTTCAAGTAAAGTTCACTTACATTAATCAAATTAGGAGCCAGTCTAGATCAGTGATTTGTGGTAATCTGTGCTCAGTTTAGTTTCTACAAGAAAAAGTATGAACTCAGAGACCTAAAGAGGAGTAAGGAATCTCAATAAAGAATCTTTAAGTTAATTTAAGCTTTCTGACTTTGTGTGGAGTGAATTTATGAGATGATTGAAAACTGTAAGGATGTCTGGCATAAACTAAATGGTCGGGGTGGTATAGTGAACAAGTCTTTACTGCTGCTCCCACTGATTCTAGCTCCATTCTCTATATTGAGCTACCCAATAGAGCAGAGGTATTCATTATTTCAACAAGTAAACTTGTGTCATAAAACCCAGAACTGAGTGTATCTATTTGGCTGAGAGCAGCCAGAGAAGCTATTTTCCAATTATTTATTGATTGTCAGTCAGGTGACCCAAAAGGACATATAGAAAAAAACAATTTAAACATCGATTTTATTAAGTTTGCTCTACAATGAAACAACTCTCATTTTATAAATGTCCAAGTTAAGACTAGACTCTAGTTGTTTAAAGAAACTTCATGAAGATTTTGAATTAGATATGAGGTTACTTTCCTATTAAAATGAAGGCAATGACATTTACTGAGCACATTCTATGGGCCAGAAACTGTACAAGGTGTTTTATTCAAATTTCAACAACCTTACAGAGTATTATTATTATCATATTACAGACCAGAAAACTAAGATCTTACAAGGAAATTGACTTGTCTAAGGCATCACTGCCAGTAAGAGTAAACAGAAAGATTTGTTCCCAGTTTTATGGATTCCAATGCCAACAGTCTTTTTTTATCACCACAACTTCCTGCTTTACAAACTCCAAGATGCTATGCCTCCAAAATATTTTGCCTCTTCAATGAATATTTGAGCACAAGAGTGAAATCTGTACTACAGTTTTGCCTGAATATTAGGTAGTTCCAGGAGCTTAAATCACATCAATAATAGTCACATTTTTGAATAAGTTCAAACTTTCCCCTTGATGTGTTTCTCCTTAGGTAAGATAGGACCCTAGATCAAATTGATCAGATCCTTAGATCTTGGCTGCATCTTCCCTCACAAACATAAGCTCACAGAGCACTGTCAAACAAGACTCTTCATATGCACCTACCTGTACAAGCCACATTTATGTCTCTTCTGTGGAGGTCATATTGTTTATTGGCTCTGAGCTGATTAAAACAGCACTTGTCACCAATCTCTTCTCCTTCAGTTAGTCCCTATGTCTGTGAAGACAAACACAATAGTTGGTTTTGTTTACCAGCATGTTTGGGTTATCAAATGTTGCTGTGTCTTTTAAACCCACCTACACAGCAAAGAAGAACCTGTTGTGCAGTACAAAAAGAAACCTCTGATTTCTTTTTTCCTGGTGACTATACACACAGAGAACCTGGACTATTAAGGAATAGGAGAGTTCACATATGGTGTAAGAAAGAATTGTGGCAGAGTTGATTTGTCTTTGATAACTATTTTCTCACTCCTCAAATTTCCTAAAATCAGTGTCTTTTTTTTTTTTACTGATTATTGAAGTACTGGTTGTCCAGCTTTGAGAATAGAGCTAGTGAAATCAGAGGTGCACATGAAATATTTGTAGTTGAATGAATGGATATAAATTTCTGGGCAGTAAAGTTCTCACTCCCCTTTTGAAGGCTTCCAGTTAAACTGATTTCTCAGACTTTATCTTAACGACTAGACCTCTGTTTCTATCCCATTACCATTATGCCTTAATACATTCTGCATAAGTCCTTTTGGTTTAAGCACTCCTTGCTGTGAACTGTGTTCTCCCAGGGAGTGGAAGTATGGGAAAGGTGGGATAAATGAGATAGTTGTATAAGATTTTTCCACAAGGAGAGATGAGTCATCACTGTTAATTCTGTGAGTTAACATAGAATTGTAAAATCACTTCCTAACACTATGAAAAGATGATTGAGAAGGATTTGGCTACATCTTTTCTTTGAAATCACCAAAAACCACAGGTAGAATGTGAATGAAAGGTTAATGCAGAAGTAGATCAGAAAAGGCTAGAAGTTACTCTTTCAGAAATAGAACAAAGTCCATAAAGGGTTAACTTCAACATCTTGTGAAATGGAAATGGACATGTGAGGGTTCATGAAGCATGTTCTGGAATTTCAAATGAAGATAGATCAAGGATATGAGGAAATGCCTCTTGGTTGGTGAAAGGAGTGGAAACAACTATGGTGGTACTAAGACCAGAAATAATTACCAAACACTAGATCCCAAACCACAATCCATTCTCTGTCCAAAGACAAAAAAAATGTCCAACTTTATCCAGTGGACTGTGTTGGCAGTTTGCATTCTGGACAAATGATCCCATGTAATCTCTTCTGAGAAAGAGATGATAGAAGGGAAGGGAAGGGAAGGGGAAGGGGAAGGGGAAAGTCTAATATCTTCCTTTGAGTACAATAGGCCTTAGATATAAAACAGCTTTAATTTATTTAAATGCTTATTTGAGCCTTTTCTCACATTCATTAATTTTATTTAACAAGTATGTTGTGTCAGGCACTAGTCAAAGTTCTTTACAAATATTAACCTGTACAATTCTCCTAACAACCCTAAGGAATGATACTATTATTAATCCCATTTGGTAGATGATGAAGCTTGCCTAATATTATATAGCTAATAGCTAACAAGTGTTACTCTAGTCTCATCATATCCCTGTTTGGTGTTGTCTCTTCAGGTTATCTGATACAGTGGGACAGTTTCTGATCAGAAATGCTCCTCAGAACTCCTGGCCAGATCATGGAGTCTCCTAATCACACTAACCTGGACCCTTCTCTTTTCTTCCTCCTGGGCATCCCAGGCCTGGAACAGTTCCACCTGCTGCTCTCACTTCCCGTATTCTGCCTGGGCACAGCCACAATTGTGGGCAATATAATCATCCTGGTTGTTGTTGCCACTGAACCAGCCCTGCACAAGCCTGTGTACCTGTTTTTGTGTATGCTCTCAACCATTGACTTGGCTGCCTCCTTCTCTACAGTTCCCAAGCTATTGGCCATCCTCTGGTGTGGAGCTGGACACATCTCTGCCTCTGCCTGCCTGGCACAGATGTTTTTCATTCATGCCTTCTGCATGATGGAATCCACTGTGTTGCTGGCCATGGCCTTTGACCGCTATGTGGCCATTTGCTACCCACTCCGCTATACCACTATCCTCACTGACACCATCATTGCCCGAGTTGGAGTGGTAGCTATGGTGCGGGGCTCCATGCTCATGCTCCCATGCCCCTTCCTCATTGGACGTTTAAGCTTCTGTCAAAGCCATGTGATCCCACACACATACTGTGAGCACATGGCTGTAGTAAAGCTGGCCTGTGGAGATACTAGGCCTAACCGTGTATATGGACTGACTGCAGCACTGCTGGTCATTGGGGTTGATTTGTTCTGTATTGCTCTCTCCTATGTCTTCATTGCACGAGCTGTCTTTCGCCTCTCATCTCATGAAGCTCGATCCAAGGCCCTAGGGACCTGTGGTTCCCATGTCTGTGTCATTCTAATCTCTTACACACCAGCACTCTTCTCCTTTTTTACCCATCGTTTTGGCCACCATGTTCCACTCCATATTCACATTCTTTTAGCCAATGTCTATCTGCTTTTCCCACCTGCTCTTAATCCTATGGTGTATGGAGTTAAGACCAAAGAGATTCGAGAGAGGGTTGTCAGGGTATTTCAAAGGGGGCAGGAAACTGGGGTCAAGGCATTTGAGTGATCCAGGAGTATGGAATGGACTTAGTCCAAAAGAAAAGAAGCTTTTTAAAATTAAATAATCCTCAGTATTTGAGATTGGAAAGTGGTTTTAATAGGGTGATGATGGTTTCCACAGTACTTTCTAGATCGTTTCCAAGGTTAACAAATCACAGAAAAGGTCAGGTTGGTTGAGCATTGTTATCTTCAATCTAAGAAAATGTAACATTGGAAAATTCTTACAACTTGGGTTAGAAGAGCCTCTGCATAGTCACAGAAAATTTCCTCAGTTCTTGGCCCTCTCCCACTACAGAAAGCATGGCTTTCTAACTTCACACTTTAGGCTATATTTTGCCATCTGCAAGGATCAAAAGATGGGACCATAATGCCACAGAGAAAGAAATTAGAGCTGCAAGGCACATCATTTTGCTTAATTTCCATATTTCGCCATCAGAGCTTGAAACCAAGAAGAAGAAACAATAACCACAATATTAGCTAGTGGCAGAGCAAGGGCTTGAAAACTATGATCTCTTGGTACAGACCAGTAGGAGTTCTATGGATGAGATCATAGGAAAAGTCAGAAATAACTCTTATTTGTAAACTTAACATATCCATCCCATGTTTATGTCTGTTTCTATCATCTAGGGAAGCAAACTAAGTTCAAGTGACTTGGATACCACTCCCTGATAAGCAATTTCCAAATATTCTTACGCATTTGCACAACTGGTAGGGACCTGCAGAAGTTACTGACTTCTGTCTCCTGAACCTGTGAAGGATGATCACTTACCTAAATCAATCAGAGAGGGAAGTCTTTGCCATTCATTTTTCTATTTATTCATAAAAAAGAAGGGTTAAATGTATCTTAGTCCCTCAATCCTAGCTAACCCTGTGTAGGGGAAAGTTCTTAATTGTATCTGTGACATTGAGATTGGAAAGCAGTTATTATAAATATCGATCCTTCTATTTTCTAAAAAGAATAGGTTTATAAAATTGACCAAATACATTTAATTAACAAATGAGTATTGAAATTTTGAATTTTTCACAGTATACACTGTCTGCTTGTCACCCTTTCAGTAGGCCATTCCATATGTTAGGTGAAGGAGACACAAAAATCCCCTCCTAGAAATTCACAGATTTTCCCACTGTTGGAGATGTCAGTCCTGAGGGCAGAACACTAAGGACCATATTTTTAAAGTTTCCATTCTCAAGAATATAAATTTTTTAACTGTGTTATTTTATATCAGTGGGGATAGATAGTTTGCAAATATTAGAATTCAATAAAATAGACAGAACACTGTCTTTCAAAGAAAATATAATTATTACACTGTTTTATAAGAAGATTGCCAGTGCATGGGCTGGTACTGTTTTTAAATAACTTCACATTCTAATCTTCAAATTGAAATATTCTTAACATATTTTTAATAATTTTATATAATTTTAAACACCATAGTTTAGGAATTTAATTTATTTTTATGCTTTAAATTGTTCACCTTGATAGCACACACACCCTACAACCCTAACTCTGGAACAATTTCTGTACCCTGTGTCATAAGTTCCTAATACTCTCTTTGTGGAACACATCTGAACAAAGTATACAGATATGCAGATTGCAAGCACAATTTGTACATAATCCACACTTTAACTGGGATGTCATTGCTATATGACTATGCTTTTACCTGTTGCATATTTTGCAATAATAAGATCTTTTAAAATATATTCTCAATCCTCTTATATACCTTTTGCCCCTAATGGTTGCATATTCCACTATTTTTTATTCCATAAGAAAAGTGAAATGATAGGAAGTAAACTGTCTCAAATTCTAATTCTCACACAAACTTTTCACATCTACAGCCATGTTTCTTTCTTTATTACTCTATTTGTTCATTACCAATTCATTTTTCTGGTCAAGCAAGGTTCTCAAAATATGGTCTTGGGAGCTCAAACTATCTAACACTTACTCCTATATCTTGTGTTCACAACCTATGTGAATTCATTTGCTTTTTTATCCAATAGCAAAATTTTCCTTTATCTTGATGACTTTTCATTTTAAAGCAAGTTTCTGAAAAACATTTTTGGAACTAATTATTTCTGCTGTTTGACTCCTATTTTTTTCCTATGTTATAATCTGGCTTCAACCACAAGTTTAACTTTCCATTGAAATACCTGTTTTCAAAGCCACCAGTGACTTTTTGTAATTGGACTATGTGACAATATATTGTATCATTGGCCATACCTAATTCTCTAAAATCTATTAGCTACTGCTTCTGTGATACCACAAGATCCTAACTTTTATTCTATGTCTACAATGTGTTTCTTGTTCTCCAAGAAATTATATGGATCAAAAAGAAAACCTCAGTGAGGTCCATAAGGAAAAAATAATAATAACATTTAAAATTTGAGTGCAATAAGGCTACAAATAAAGGAATTAAAAAATCAATATCATTAGTTATTAGGCAACTGTAAATTTAAATGTCATTGAAATATCAGTTTCTCTAATAACATCAATATGGACTTCCTAAAGAACCTAAAGAAACTTGTTCTTGGCATGGTCTAGAATGCAAACTCTTATACACTGCTAGGGACATGTTTTAGATAAATTAGAAAACTAGCATGATGATTACTGAAAAATTTATTACAAAATTTTTATTAAATAAAATGAAACTAGAATATCAAAAGACAGAAAATTTTAAATAAATACTATTCATCTGTTTAATAAAAAGTATGCAGTCTTAAAAATCCCTCTTTGGAAGAACATTTAATGTACTAATTGTATACTCTTAATTGTAAAAATAGCAATATATGTGGGTAATGAGATAACATTATTTCATTTATCTTAAAGCATGTACCTGGGCATATACTCATATTAATATATTTAATAGATATACTAATAAATGTTACTTCTCTTGAAGGACAAGAAAATATATGTTAAAAAGTAATTTTAAAGAGTAATTGAATAAATGTGTGAATAAATCATTGACATAATTTAAATGTATTCCACTTGTTTCCCCCAGGGTCTTTGCAAATCTTCATAGGAAATAAAACAAAACTGCAGTAGTTAAATCATTAATTTTCTTCTTTTTTCAAAGATTCATTGTTTAAAGAATTTTATTGTTGTTCAAGTACAGTTGTCTGCATTCTATTAAAATAACTTGTTTCTAATTTATATCCAGGTCTTTATCTACAGACAACATTCACATATCAATATAAAAGTGCATGTGCATCCATTCATGCAGGCATACATACATATATGTATGTCTTTACATATTTATCAGTCATGATTTAGTAACCTGGAGGTTAGCTTGATTCCAATATCATTGGTGTGTCTCTGAGTCCTTAAAATGTGCTCTTGGGATATTTGAGATATATAGCACTCATTTTCCTTCAAACTCAGGTCAACAGTCTTCTTATCAAAGAAAACTCAATTTAAAATTTGCTCTGAGATTGTGATGATTAGACAGCCAAGTTTATGGGATATTGAAGCAGATATATTTCATATTGATGTGTCCTGCAAAAACTAAGGTATTTAAATATAATAATGTAGGTGTCAGCAACAGGAGAAGTTCCACTTTACATATGGAGAAAAAGAGAGAAAAGAACTTAAGATGGAAAAAAATTTAAATTTGTTTTAAAACAATAAAATAAATTTGTTATTAACACTATGTTACTTTGGTTTAAGCTTGTACCACTAGCTGGCCATTTAGCAAATGTATCGAACCTGTGTAGGAGCTAAAATTTATTGTAATAAATCCATTTCTAAGTGGTTTGTGAAAAAGAGGGCATACAGAATATTATTTTATAGTAGATATTATAGGGGAAATATTAAGACAGAATTGAGCATTTTCCAGAATCATCAAGATTTGTTTAAAAAAAATAAATAAAAACAAAGCTGGAAAAGTGGGTAAATATTTAGAGATACAAGGAGATCCAGACTGAAGAAGATAAGTAAGAGTTTATAGACTAAAGGTTTTGTTTTTTTCAAAAAGGAAATAATGGTGAGTACAAAAGTGCCAGAATGTTTTAAAACAAAGTTTATCTTCCCAATATTGCAATTAATTGTGCTGCATACATGTGAACTTATATTTTGGTAAATGATATATGTAACAGTTATTTGAGGTGTATGATGTTGTAAACCTATTTATTAACAAATTTGTAAGTGTATTTAAAACACTGATGAACTCAGGATTGCAATATTGGTCCTAGGGGAAACATTATTCATATAATTTAAACTACCATATTTTGACTGTTTTTCTAAAGTGCAGATTAGTAAGCGGAAGTGGTAGCTTAAAACCAAAACAGTAGCATTAAATTGAAAACTGGAGTTTTCATAACATCTAAGTGTTATTTTGAAAAGTTTGCATATTAATACCTACTATATTTGAATAAATTATTGAAGAATGTCTCTGTTCCCCCATGATTTGGTTTAAAAATATTCTTATAAAAATAGAGTACATTTATCATGGTTAAAACAAAAAAATTTAATCTCATCTGATGACTTTTACCTAGAATTTCTTGAAAAAAAAAAGTTATCCCTACTTTATCTTGTTTTGATTTCTATAGCATCTGGAATTAATATATCAACTCCAAATTTCGTGTGTATTTTCTATGACAATTGTACATCACTGCATGTAGCTCTTTGTTTTTTTAATCATGTGTCCCTTTGAGTTGTTTATGTGTACTTTTACAAAATTGAGAGACTTATATAGGGAAGTTTAAGTAGTCTACCTTACCAGCTCAAAGCAATGTACATGATTTGCATGTTGTCACCTTACTATTTTAATAATTTATTTAGACATCTTTTGCCTTCTCTGTTTTATGATGGAAATGTTTTGCTTATTTTACAGTGATTTATGCATGGATGTTCTGATTTTATATTTAGTACAATTCTTTTGTTTCTTCTAAATCAAAGTGATTAACCTTTATTTTAAGAATTGTCAGAGCATTCTTATTCCTGAAATTTTTAATATGATATTGAACAACAGGTAGCCAAAATATGTCCTTCAGCTTAACCATTTCTTAGGAGAATCC